GCCGCCCGCCGCTTTCCCCCCGGCTCTGCCATTTGCAGCCCCCGGAGGCTCACCCTCGCCCCGCCTTAGCTCTCTCCCAGCCGGGAACTCTCCCTTAGCTCTCTCATCCATCACCAGTGGAGTTTTTTTTTTTCATTTTTTATTTTTAAAAGTTTAGGTGCCTTTGCGGATGACCTCATTTTGATGTTGGGGAAAAAAAATGATTTTTTAATATGTGGACACTGCAAAAAAAAAAAAAGTGTGTTTAAATTATCTTTTTTAAAACCTATTCAGGATTATTAGCCTGGACTTCGACATAGAGTTTGTAAATAAATGTGTCTGTGCAGATTTTCCCACTGATTTATTTGTATAAAAATACTCATCTTTTCAGACTTTTTTGTAAACCCTCACTTGTGAAAACTCCGGTTTAGCAGCGACCTCAGCAACCCCTCCGGTTTATTTTTCCCTTAAAATTTTTCTCAGTTAAGCTAAGCTACTGATTTGGATTTGTTATATCTTATCCTAAAGTCTTTGTTCTTAAAATGAAAGGTATTTTGGGGTTATTTATTATGAAAACAACATGCTCTTAATGTTGATTTTACAATATGAAGAGATTATTTAAATAAATTATTGTTTTCATTGGATGGGTGCGTTTTTACCTCGGTGTCATGACCTGGAAGCTCGGCCGCTGCGCAGCCGAGAGTGACATTTGCGTCTTTAGAAAGCTGCGAGCGCCCGACGCGCGGCGAGGCAAGGACAGGCTCCCCCCTGTCACGGCCCCGGCGGAATGTTCCCGCGCTGCCTCCACCCGCGTCGGGACGCGGGGTTCTCCCGCTCCGAGCGCCGTGAGTCACTCGGCGCCTGGCGGCTCAGTCTCCGCCCTCTCGGTCCCTCCGGCGCCGGGGCCTCCGCCCGGCTCCTGGGCTGTCTCTGCGGCCTCCGGGGCCGCGGCGCTGGCCACGCAGTGCTTCGGTGCCACAGCTGCTGGCCACGCAGTGGTTGGGAGCGGCAGCGGGGAACCTGCAGCCGGAGCAGAGCCTGATCTCTACACTGGACCCTCCCCTCGGTTTGTCCCGCAGCCCTCTGGGGCTGGCTGAGCCTAGAATTCAGTGAGTCACCCGGGTCCTCGGGCGACTCGGTTGGCTGCTCTGGAATGCAGGGCGACCTCAGTGCCCAAGGCTTCGCTAGCGCAGATGCAATCCCACACTGTGACTCTCCCAGACACATCAGTACTATCACATACTCTCATACACACTCATACTGAACGACACACACGGGACACAAATTCACACACACTGATACACAAACTCACATATGCACACTCACGCCCACATGCACACTCACATGGAGACTGATGCCCATTGCTTCGGAAGGGGCATCATTCCACCTCACATTCTCTGAGGGGACAGGTCCACACATCATTCAGCTCTGCTTGCCACCTTCCCACCCAAATAGTTTCCCACTTGGGAAGTGACCCTACTTTCTGGCAAGCTCTGCAAAGACCAGGGGTAGGCGAGTAATGCAGGCCTGAACTTAGAGTTCCTTTTCTTGAAAGTACTGGGGCATACAGTTGGAAACTCCCTGGTTTCAGTCACTCACTGTGTGACTTTGGGCTACCTACTTCACCTCTCTGTGTTGCGGTGCACCGGAGAAATGAAAACAGCTATCTCAGTGTTGTGAGCATTTAATGAGGCAACGATGTAACAGTGCCTGGCACATAGTAAGCACTCAATACATTTTTGCTATTAGTAGTACGTATATTGTTTGAGCCTGGTGCCCCCAAACAAGGAGGCTTTTTACTTCTGTTTGCAATTATGAGGCCCAGAGTTAGCCAGAGGCCTTTCCAACCTCATCTTGTGTGGAAGAGCAGCACCTTAGGGCTGGGAGACCTCTGGCCCTTTCCCACATGGAAGACTTAACCTTGGGCATCCCTTCCGAAGGGGCCAGGCTCTACTGGAGAGGAGTTTGGCAAGCCAGACAGCCATGCCTGCCAGACCCAGTCCTCCTCTCCTCTAGGACGGCTTTTCAGGCAGTCCTTGTTGTATGTCTTCAACTCACCTCTGCCAAAAGACAGACATCAGATGGGAGTGACTTTCTAGGCTCAGTGAGGTTATCCTGAGAGGAATTCCAACTTTTCTGGCCAGATTGTTTTGGGGCCTGCACTGAGCCTGCCTTACAACAGAGTGTGGTCCAGGGAGTTGGGGCTCATCAGAAAGCAGGGAGGTTACACAACCCTGTGTCCCTTTGCATTCCTGCGTGTTTTCCCAGGCTAGGGAGGCCTGGGCTGAATCCCATTGACACCGAGGTTCTGGCTTCCCTAAGCAGCCGCTGCCTAGCAGATCCCCATTGCAGTCCTCCCTCCCCCCAGCTCCAAATTCCGTGGTTTTCTTTGAGTGCCAATGTCTGCCCTCCCTTCCTTTGCGCGCATTCCCCTCCCCCTCCTGAAACCAGCACGGAGAAACCGGGCAGTAAATTGGCTGGTGCAGAGGATCTGCAGCAGACAAGATGATTAAGAGGCCTACGCCGGAGCGCCCGGGGCAGAGAATGTCAGCCCAAGTTGGAATCACGCAACAGGCCTTGGCATGAGCGAGCCTGGGAGCCGGGAGGGCGGGCGGCCCCAGCTCTGGGGTGGGCCGAGGCCCCACAGACTCGAGGGAGTCACCGAACCTGGCACCCGGCGGCGGCGGCGGGGTCGGGCCGGGCCACGGCGCGCCTTTCCCTGGGAAGCTCGCGAAACAGAGGGCAGAAGGGTGCAGGGGCCAGAGGAAGGGGGCGTTTCCGTAGACTAGGAGAAGGGCAAAGAGAGGGGAAAGCGAGGATGCGCCTGGGTCCCAGAGTGAGAAGGAGGGAGGAGTGGGGGAGGGGTGAGCGAGGGGAGAAACAAAGCCGGGCTTGGGGAGGCGGGGGCCCGCACCAGCCCTGCCGGGGGCGAAGCGCTGGCAAGCCTTTCTCACAGTCTCGCTGCCCGCTGGGGGACCCGGAGTCCTGTGATCAGCCCGCCGCCAGCAGACTAGCTCCCCCCGCGCCCGACGGCGCTCCCCAAAGCGCGAGTGAAAAATGGAAATGGGAAGCGGCGATCTCGTCTCCCTACACTGGGAAACCAGCCGCGCTAGGAACACACATAAATCTTCATTGCAACCCCCTTCCATTCGCTTGCGTGAAATATCAGGCCAGAGACAGGGTATGACAAGCGCTGGGAAGCCAGGGGAGGGAAGCCGTAGAGTGAGGGGTTCCCGACCCTCTCCGCTCCACCTCTCGGCAGGATAGCTCCAAACTCCTGCGGAGCGCTGGCACTGAGTTCCAATTCCTGAGGCTGGCAGCAGAGACGCACCCGCACCCCCTTTCCTC